TGGCAATACATGTCTGCACTCCCAATAGCAATGGAGGAGTATTCTCCTTGCTCCATATCCTTGGCAGCATGAGCTGTCACTTGTTTTATTGGTCTTAGCCATTCTGACATGTGGAATGTGGAATCGCAGTCGTTTTGATTTGTATTTTCCTGATGGCTAAGGATGTTGAACATTTACGTGTTTCTCAGCCATTTGAGTTTCCTCTTTTGAGGATTCCGTTTAGATCTATACCCCATTTTTAATTGGGTTGTTTGCTTTCTTGTTACCAAGTTTTTTTGTTTTTGTTTTTGTTTTGTTTTTTTTTTTTTTTTTAGTTCTTCATATATTTTTAGGTATTAGCCTCTTTTTTTTTTTTAATTCAAGATTAGAATGTTTGTTTCAAGGTACTAGAGAGTTGAGTCAGCAGTTACAAGCATGGACTGGGTTTGCAGAAGACTGGAGGTCAGTTTGGTTCTGAGTACCCTGTTGGAATCTTATTGCTGACATTAACTATGTCTCCAGGACAGTCTCCTCTGGTGTCTTCTATGGGCACCTACATTCATGTATACTTACCTACAGTAAAAAGACGTAACTATAGTTAAAAACCCTTTTAATCATTTTCATACAATATTTTTTGTGCATTGGTGTTTTGCCTGCATTTATGTATATGAAGTTGTCCAATCACTTTGAATTACAGATGGTTGTGAACTGCCATGTTGGTGCTGGGAGTTGAACCTGGGGCTTCTGGAAAAGCAGCCAGTGCTCTTAACTGCAGAGCCATCTCTCCAGCTCCATACAATATATTATGATCATGATTTTCTCTTTTCAACTCCTCCCATGTCCTTCCCACCTCCCTTAGCCACCCAACTTGCATGCAACTTTGTTCTCGTTCACTTTCAAAACAAAGTAAGAAACAACCCCACAGAGAACAAAAGTATCCTTGCTTGATAATTTCTTACCTGAGAGTATCTTCCTGGGAAAGGAGGGGGTGACTCATTGTACAGTGATTCAGGTATTTGGTTAGGTCTAGCCCCTCCCCGTGGATCCTGTGACTTTACTGCTGGATGCCGCCAGTGTGTGATACTGCTTATTAAATGTTCAATTGTGACCATATTTAGAATCGTTCTTAGGCCTCAATTCTGGGATCATCTACTTAGGGTAACCTGTCCCCTACCCCTTAGTGTAGTTCTGGGGTGATCTGCTTCTTTGTATTTCTTTGTTGGTTTTGTCTGTTAAAATTTTATTATCCTGAGAAGGGAACTCTGCTTCATTCATTGTAAGAGGCAATGTAAATTGGAAAGCCATATTATTTTTTTTAAATGGCTTTTTGCTTTGTTTTGCATTGCTTTGCAAATCTAAAGTCCAAAATATAGGAAAGATGATGCAAAGTAATACTCATGGTGGCTGAGATCACCAAAGGAACAATCTGGTGACAGAAAAAAACAAACTGTTCAGTCTGGCATGTGGGAACTTTATTAACTCTACGGCAGAGGCAGAAATCATATTACTCAGGTTTGCGAAAAGAAAATATGGAGGTACACTTGGCTGGGAACGAAGTGAGGTCACTTGACAATCAGCAAAGCATGAGCGGGCTGGACAGAGAAGTTTAAGATATTTGTTCATTCTCCTGTTAAGCCCTTCACGTACCAGTAGTTAGTTGTTGGTATGTGAGTTAAGGTTGGCAATGTGCCACTAGCAATGAGTATTTAACAAGTCACTCAGTGAAAAGGAGGCTGCTGCCAGCTGAGCATGGTGGTGTGGGTAAGCTGAAAGTAAGCAAGATGAGGTGAGAAGAGCAGTTCTCCCACACATACACAAGCAGCCGGCTGGCTGCACACATTTGAAGGGCTTTGTGGTTGGCGTCTTATTCAGCCATACCATTTGTATCAAAATAATAGTCCATTTTATGATTTTTTTTTCAGATCAGTGTCTTAAAAGCCATATCCCATACTATAATTTCCATTTTCTTTCTAAATAAGTGTTAGCATTGAAATATTTCAGTGAATAAATTATAGAAGCTTAGAAGTGAGGTAAACAAGTACACACTTCTAGACCAGGTGAATGTTAGGTATGTTTAAAATGTATATCTTTTCACCAGATAGTAGATCTAGATCTATTTCACATGAACATTTTTATATAAGCGGTATTAAAATTAAAGAACACTTTTTAAAAAGTGACTAGGAGAAAATGTCTGGTGTAAAGTTTATTGTAGATACCAAGCTAAGTCTCCATTTACTCTAGACCCTTAGAAATGTCTCTTAAGATAGAAGCAGCGTACAGAGGGGGATCTAGCCTAGTTAATTCCCTTTCCCCTTAGGAGGGAAATCTTGCAAAGGCTAGCACATTTTTATAGCTGAGACTATAAAAACAACAGCACTGACCCACCACAAGACGAGGTCAGCAAGTTGACTACAGGACTTAGAGAAACGCTGACAAAGCTTGACACCGGGAGTCTGAGCAGATGTAAAATTTGCTTGATACTCAGAATATCTGGAAACATTTCTAAGTTTTTTTTTTTTTTTAACTATCTTGACTTTTTAAATTTAAAAGCGCTTTTAATATCATAGAACACAATATACTTTCATCACCATGTTTTGAATTGTCTTAGACTCCACAAGATACTAAGTTGTTCAGAATACAAAAGTTCTTGCACCCACAGACAGCACTAGGAAAACCAGGGGTGTTAAACACGCAGGTTGTCTTCTCAAAAGATAACTTGCTTTTCTGCCCAGACGGCTGGGAATGGAGGTGGCTAATAGGCTAGGTAACTCCTGTGCTATCTGTAGGGCCAGGGAATACAGATGTGTCATCCACAAATTACTGCAGTGATTTATTGTCTGAAAATGTATTTCATCTTCAAAACTTAAAAATATATTTTCTTGATATATGTACATGTGTGTACAAATGGAGCTGTGACCTTTGGATAAAGAAAGAATGCTGACATAACTGGTAGGAATGCAGCTGGAGCTGGGGGAGTTCATTTCACCCACTCTCCCTTTAGCTACTAACAGAATTCTTCCCATGAGGTTTAGGGGAGGGATGGCCCCATGGAACTGGTTGTGATAGCAAATACCTTGAATAAGCACTAAGGAGAAGAAGGCTGAGGCAAGCGAGTCAGGGGCTTGGAGAAGAGCTTCATAGTAAGACACTGTCTCAATTGAAACAAAAACATTTAAAGTTTTATTGGAAGTTGGAAGTCTGGGGCGATCACTGATTTGGTATATTAATGTCAGCTCTGGGGGTACAAAGAGCAGAATGAGAGCTGTTTTGCAATGAATGGTCAAAGAGAAGACTCGAATATCCTACATTTTTACTAGTGCATGACTAATAGGTCTTTAAATAAGACAAATTTGGTGGAGCTTGGAGAGTTAAAAGAAAGGGTGTGAACTGGGGACTGTGTGTGTGTGTGTGTGTGTGTGTGTGTGTGTGTGTACACATGTATATATATGAAGCTAAAGCATGTGCACACAGTTGCCAAATGAAGGACCATGGAAAACAATGACTCAGCAAACATGTGATGCTGGTGATAGATGGTGCTGTTTGTGCAGAACTTCAAAAGGAGTATTCTGTGTGATGGTAGAATGGTACCCTGGAATATACGGAGTTGATGAAAGCACATGGGCCCCACACAAACACCGGAAACAGAAGAGTAAACGCCTCCCCCTTGAGAGGCCACAGAAGTCTTGTCTCTGTGGGAACAAGGCACCAGTGAGAACGCGTACCCACTAAGAATAAAGGAAACCAACCAAGGCTTTAAGCTGCTGCTGTTTCTGAGGGCAAACATGGAGGGCTTGGGAGACACTAGGAAGGGGTGAGAAGCACTGAACACAATGGGAACTAATATATTTAACTTAACAGCACTCAGTCAGGGGTGGCGCTACCCTCTTCCAAGGACATGAAAAATGACCAGTATTTTTAACTTCTACAGTAACTGGGGATAGTGTTAGCATTTGAAATCACCCTCTAGGCTCAAGACCTTGCTGTACATTTGTCACTACTTAAAAAGCCACTAACACCTCTCTCTTGCTGTGATGCAGGGGGTTTACCTTTTACATAAAGAACAACCACAAAAGCATGATACAGTGGTCTTATCTGGTTGCAGAGCCAAAGGAGTGCTGATTATACTCATACAGTTGCAGCGCCCTTATGGAAAAATGCTGACCACTTTGCCTGGGGACTGGGTAGACAGACTTGACATACCTCCAGAGGGACAGAGCTTCCTGCTAGTGGGATTTCTTCCTTAAATGAATGAAGATAATGCTATTGCCATTATTGTTATGTGATCATTGCTGTTGTCAAGAGGTTCATCTAGGAGACAAGCCTCTAGGCATGCTGGGAGAGAGTGCTTAGAGTATATCAGCCCCTGGGCACCAGGTGAGGGGTTGTCTTCATTAGGTTAGTGTGGTGGGAAGGCTTGGGTGCTGGACTGTTTAGAATCCAGGAATCTTTTTTAGCATTAATTTTCTGCTAAGTGCAAATATGATGCTACCAGCTTCTTCAAGCTCTAGCTCCTGCAGTCTGAGCTTGCACACCCCCAGCACCTATCCCTAGCACCCTACTCCTAGCCTCCCACCTCTACACCGCCACCCCTAACTCCCACCCTCACTGGAATGATGGACTTTACTGTTAGCATAGGTACCAAAATAAACCCTTTCTCCTGTAAGTTCCTATTGCCATATTTTATCTCAAGTATCTCACATTATAAATGGGATTAAAGAATTGGATTAAATTTCAATGACTACCATCCCACACCCAGAATGAGAAGTAGACAATGATATATACACTCTAAAATTTTCTTAGAAACATTTCTAACAACTACTCTATATTGGGACCATGGGTGAATCTGTGAATTTTCAAATGAGAAGGATTTGAAACCACTGTCTTCTAAATATTTAAATACAGAAATCGGTGAGTTTTCTGTCACTCACACTGGGTTACTAATAGCTCAATACCCAGAACCTGGGTTTTAAAGGTAATTATGACCATTAGAAAAACCAGCTTTGAACACCGGCAGCTGTGAGTAAAGTGAGAAATTTGGGCACTTTAATTCACAAACAATTTCTAAGGAAAATTGGTTTCCATGATGCAGCTTTCAGGCTAGAGAAACGTCTTCATCATCTTATGTGTGATATGGCTATCAGGGCTCTGCATATCTTCGTATGATTTGACTGGACTCTCCTTTTCTTGAAAATGAATGGGCATCTTCTTGCCTTCCACACTCATGAGCTTCAGAGCCAGGGGGCCCAAGTTTACATAATCCTGCCGGGAAGACAAGAGAAGAGAGGTAAGTGGCACGTGAACCTGACAAATGACATATTCTTCCCCTGGGTTGCCCTACTGATGTGTGAATGCTTTATCATACATGGAATATGAAAGCCACTGCAAAAATTTAAAAATGTACCTTTTAAGTTTATATTCCCCATAAGTCACAGTGGGAAGACCTTCCAGTAAGCAGGAGGGAAGGCTGGTGGTCTCAAAGGGAGTTGGGGTGAGCTGGATGCTGGCAAATGGAAATGTGTCCCCCTTGGGACTGCTTTGTTGGTGAAGGAGTATTAGGCATATATAGTCCTCTACTCGCTAGGTCACAGCCACACCGAGTTCTGTATTATTCAAAAAGGGGTTGTGTGTGATATTCTACAAATGCTACTTGGATAATGTAACACTGAGGAACTTGTCCAGGAATACGAATCTTTTCACAGATTCTTTGGCTATTGTCTTGGTCAAACTTACCCTATTGTGTCAAAGTATAAATGAGATGCCAGTCAATGAAAACTGGAAAGTTACTTTCTATAAAATCCTCTAGCCTGTCACAAATAGCTCAGGCCCTACCTGGGAAGACTCCTAAGCCATAATTCACTTGTTGTGTTCCTTCCACTCGTCAGCAAATCTTTCTAGAATGTTCCCCATACCCATTGAGTGCTGTGGTGCAATGATAAACACAGGACTGGTGGGTGACAGCATAAGTAGTGTAGCTCCTCTTACACAGTAAACTGTTATTTTTTTCCTGCAGTCCCATAAACAGTTGCATCTTGGAGCCTTTATGTCCCCCATTCTCTTGAAATTCCCAAGCATAAGAGGTACCTGGTGCATTGCGGGATGCTCAGTATTTATGTGAACACCAGGCTGCTTTGTTGGTAAAGGAGAAGGTTGGTAAAAAGAGGAAGCAATGCTTTTGAAATGCTTGTCATTATATGTAATTTTCAAACTACAACAAAAGTGGTGGGTAATGTATCCGTTCTATGCCATAGCCACCACAGTTCCTCTATCACAGCTCACAAGAACACTTTTCATCAAGCCAGGGACAGACTGTAGTCTGTTGTCCACAATTGCCAAGCATCAGTGTGGTGTACCAGGAGTCAGGATTCCAGGATATGAGTGGTGGTATTTGAGCATTTAAATGGCAAACATACTAGAATATCCATCCTTTAGAATCCCTTTTCAGTTCTGGGACTCAAACCAAGAGCCTCTGCAGCTTAGCAAGCAGGCTATCTCTGAGCCATATTGTCACCCCTGAGAGTTTAGTCTTTAAATGATCACTCAAGAGGATATGGCTCAGTGATGGGGTGCTTGTCTAGCATGTGACAGGCCTAGATACTGCAAAAAAGTGACAGGGTACAATTGGAGTTGGTTTTTTTACCCATATTTGACTGACTCTTAAACCTACCAGAATCAGAATTCAGTAAAATTAAAAAAAAAAAAAAAAAGTTTTGGACGTTCCCATCACTCAGGAGGCAAAGGCTGACAGACAGCTATGAGTTCAAGGCCAGCCTGATAGGAATCTCTCAAATTTGAGACTGGCTTGGGCTACATAGGGAGACTCTATATTAAGTAAACAAATGATGGTTTGATGGTAGTCAGAATAAACTATTAGATATTCACTAGCTCCATTTCTTCCTCTCTCCTTACACTCTGCATCCTACCAGACTTAAAATTTCATGATTTTAAGGTTTTGGCAGTGCCAGAGAAGGGTAGAGTAGAAATGTACAAATGAGAGTTTTCTAAATTATAGGTTTGCTACTCCAGGCATCATCCACTAGCAGTATATATTTTACAAGGATGGCCTGATATATATCCTATCCCACAGATTTGTTGGAGTCTTTTGTTTTTGCTTTTATACAATCTCCCATCAAGATGTAGGAACTAACTATATCCATGCTAGTTGATGAGAACAGCCAGCAGAGTGTAATGAAAGTGGAAAGTGATAGTGTGTGGCCTCCAAACCGTTCTCTTTTGTCACTGGAATTGCTTTCCCTAACAAGTCAGACACAGTACTTTAGCAGAGGGACATTCAAGACACCCTTTGGAGATGCTCATATGAAGTAAAACTGAGGTCTTGATGCAATCACCATCACCTTGCTTGACATAGGTGTGTCCCCCTTTTGAGGTGGGCCTTCTGCCCCAATCCAGGCTTCAGATGAGCATGGCCCTAACTAGCACATGACTGTGACTGCCCAAGGGAGAACCCAGTGGAGCCATTGCCCAATTCCCAGCTATCGGAGGCAATAGAAAGTATTGTTTTAGCTGAGCAGTGGTGGCGCATGCCTTTAATCTCAGCACTCAGGAGAGGCAGGTGAGTTCGAGGCCAGCCTTATCTACAAAGTGAGCTCCAGGACAGCCAGGGCTACACAGAGAAACTCTGTCTTGGAACACTCTCAGCCTCGAAAAGTATTGTTTTAAACTACTAGACTTAGAGATAGTTTATGATGGAGCATCAGCTAACTGATGAATGTTTTAGCTAACTGGCTCAAAGTAGGAGTAAGAAGAGGATCCCAGGAGAGGTCAGTGGTAGGCCACTTGTACTAAAAATCACAAAGCAAATTTTCAGTATTTACATTTTAGGTCTCCTTCTGGCAGCATTGTAGTCATTGTCATTCTAGTCAGAACTGTGTTCTTGTGATTCTCACCTTGAAATCCTGTTCATCCTCATGCAACAAATAATGGATGACAGAGCCCTTGATCTCTGTGGAGGAGCTGTCCTCCTCTATCTTTTCAAACCAGACATCTGGACTGCCAACCTCCTGGCTGCTCCCCGTTAGGCTCCATTCGTTTCTACTCTCTGCTGCAGTGGGCGATTTCAAATTCTCCTCTGAGATTACAGCAGAGAAATAATTTGTAATCTGCTCAAAATGTTACCCAAAATGGTTTTAGAGAAAACAGTATGGAATGTATGGAATAAGCTAATAAATAAAATAACAAAATACAAGTAATATAAATTATATAAAAGTAAGAGGTGGCCCTGTTTTGGAAACTATCCTATATCCTTCAGATAGCTAAGACATTAACCATAGCCACTTGGGTACTAACGGGTATTCTGGCATTTTGGTTGGTTAAAGTGGTGCCTAGACTATATCAGCATTGGCAACACCCCCCATGAGTATCTACCTAATTCATTATAAAATGCATTGAATTTGATAGAAAATGGGGTTAAAACTCAGATACAGCAGTCTTTGTCTCTAATGGCAGTCCTTGAGAGGATGAAGCAGGAGGATCCCTTAGAAAGATGAAAGAGTGTGGGAGAAAAGGGAAGGGAGGGAAGAAAGGACAGAGGGAGGGAGGGAAAGATAAGGGGAGGGAGGAATAGAGAAAGGAAAGGGATGAGAAAGACAAGGGAAGAGTTGGCAGACATAGACTAAAGCAGGAAGGAGGGATGGGGTGGAACATGGGTGGATCCACTCCAGGCAGAGCTCTTGCATGTGGGGTGTCTGCCCATAAAAGGTACTCAGGCTGCTGTTCTAAGGTGAGAAAAACCTCATCACAAGGAAATTGTACCTTCATCTGTCTCTAGCAACTTCAAAGACATGGCATCTTCAGGTGGCACTTGCTGCCCAGCAGCTTGAGTAAGATACAGTTTCCTAAAAGAACAAATAGCAGACTGTCAGCCAATGAATACTGTCCTACATGCTCACCAGCCTCCATTTCCTTCCAGAGTGTGGAGAAAAAGCAGAAATGGGATCTGCTTCACATACTTCAGGAGCATTGTTGAACCGATAACCAGCTATAGTATTCTAAGGTGATAATTTCTAGCAAGATGTGTAATGAGCAGTGAGAGAATTCCAGGAGTTAGAAAGAAGCACCCCTTGAGTTAGCCTTGGAGACAAGGAAGGTTCCTTGAGGAGATGAAATCTGAATGGAATCTTGTGGAAACAGAAGTTCACCATAGGAAGAGTATAAAGGGAGGGGAATTCCCAGACAGGGAGTATGAGAATAATATCAATTAGGTAACTGGATTTTCAGGAAGAAAGTCAGTAAGAAATGCTGGGGGTGCAGCTAGCATCAGATGTCTTACTTAGCATGTATAAGGACCAGTGTTCAGTGTGAGGAGGGGGTAGTAGGGAAGCAGGAAAGTAGGAGAGGAAATGCATATAAGTTATTTAAAGCATATACATGCAGAGTTTCTATACATTTGGAGTCGGAGCACAGATGACTGTTGATTAATGTTTTTGAATTCTTTATTTTTATTTTACATGTTAGAGTGTTTGCCTGCATGTATGCACACCATGTGTATTTAGAGGCCAGAAGAGAGCATTGGATCCACTGGTACTGGATTTACAAATGGTTGTGAGTCACCATGTGGTTTCTGGGACTTGAACCCAGGTCCTCTGGAAGAGCAGCCAGTGCTCTTTCTTAACCACTGGGCCATCTCTCCAGCCTCAGTTCCCTTCCTTTTGCCTGCTGTCATCTAGTAAAAGTACTGGAGAACTAAATCTGTCTTTTTCAAACTGAGTGTTACTTTGTAGCCCAGGTTCTAGAATTATGTAGCCTGAGCTGGCCTTGGATCTCTGGTAATCCTCTTATATTAGTCTCCTGAGTACTGGGATTACACATGATACCTAGATAAATCATCTTAACACAACACAAAACAAACAAACAAACAAAAAACACCAACTTTTCACAGGTATGATGTCTACAAAACAAAACACTTTCTAGAAATGTTAATGACTTTGACCTGGGTATTCTAAGAGCACCAAGTGCTAACTGCTATGGCTCCAGGGAGCATCTCACCTGGGTATTTTGAGATCCACAAGTCTACAGTTAAATAGCTGGTCAATAAGCACCAAATTTTCTTCTTCTAGTCGATGAATACATTTTTCCAGTTCTTCTACTTCCTTCCTATGGATGGAAATCTGTTTGCAGAAGAGAGGGGTGGGTATCGGCATTTACTGGCTTCACTCAGTTGTATCTTCTATAGTAAATGCATCTCCTGAAAAGACACTGGCATAAGGGAAGAGCTATCATTTGTTATCTTGTACTGGGTTCTCCTGGCCCTTCTGTGGTTTAGAAGGAACAGGGGAGATGGTTTCTGGGTCATAAGCAGGCCCAGGAGGTAGTTATTACAGAGCTGAACTTGTCCTTTTCTACACTTCAGAAAGCATGGCTGAACCTAAAGATGAGCTAGAGGTGGAGATAGGAAAACAGAATTCGTTTAGCAATATAATATATTGGCCAGTGAATGGGGCTATCTCTAAAGGTAATTATAAATAAGACTAAGAAAACACACTGGAATAATGATATATATGGTGGTATTTTATTTGATGCCTGAAAGCCCTTTCTACCAGCTCCCATATAAGATTATGTTCTCTTTGAGCCTGGTGTCAGTTCTGAAAAATGCCATACATATGAAATAATTTGCCAATCCACTTTGTTCTACTGAACCCTTGCAGTGTGCCAGAAAACATTCCAAATGATCAAGAGACAAAATTAGTTTAGCAATAGGATCTCTTAGCTTCTTGGGCAAAGGTGCTGACAGAAAGTGAGGTGGTAAAAACCTGAATGGAAGCTGGATAGCTGCCAGCTACCCTGGGATGAGGAAGATGCAGATGCTGAGGTAATGAAAATTGGAAAGGGAAGACAACTAACCCACATCTGAAAATGGAGCAGGGCTTTATGTAGATCCAAGTTGTGTCTCCTGGGAAGTAGGAACCAAGTCTGCAAAGGCTCAAAGGGAATGGAGGAGTTGGGGACTGACCACACAACTAAGAAAGAAACACTGCCCAAGAATCTGGTTTTTGTCCTCAAGGTGACAGCAAGTTAACTACCAGGTGGGGCATACTTAGTGAATAAATTGAGTCAAATATGAACAGAATTTGCCAGTTTGGTTGATGGAATTCCCATTAGTCTTTTAAGAGTGTGTTTCGGGCCCCTCATTCTAAAGGCTGGTGGCCATGAGCATGCTTCAACTTTAGAGAAGAGTCATTCCTTTGTGTCCTGCTCTGTGATGTAAGGGTCTGGATGGACCCCGGTGAGGCTGATGAAATCGCCATAACACCACCATTCGTTTGGTAGATCCAGAAGCTGTTGAAAGATGATCATTTGATCATCTCTAAGCCTCTGATTCCTCTTTGGGGCTTCAGGGCCAAAAACCATCCTATCCTGTGGGATGGCATGAATATAGGCATAGGTGAGTGGAAGGGCACTGCCAGGTCTTGAATGTCAGCAAAGAAGGGGAGGCTGCTTGGGAGATACTGTTGACTCTAGGAATAGCCACCTCATGTATCACAGCCTGTATCCCAAGGTGGAGAGGAATATGTTCAAAACCAAGAACAATGCTATGGAATCCAATTGCAGGCTGAAGACAGGCCAGACCAACAAGAAGCTCCTGCAGACAAAACAGCAGGTCGAAGACCGAGGAAGTGTTTGCAGGCCAAGAAGAGCAGCATCAATAAAACCAGGGAGCAAGAGACCAAGACACTCAGCCCCTGTCTTGTCTGCATAGTGCCTTGGTGTGGGCTCACTGATGGGTCACACGGATCAGTCATTAGCATAAGAAAACCCTTTATCACCTACAAACAAAGATACAAGAAAGAAGGCTCATCAGAGAGCAGAACATATAGAAGTTACTTGGTGAGTTACATTATATAGGCGTTGACACCAGCAGATGTTCATGGAAGCAATCAAGGCACTAGAATTAGAACTACGTGTAAAATCAAGTGTGGGAGACTGGTGAAAATAACAGAAAACTGGGAGGAAGTAGAAAGTTTTGAGGGAGTGAAAACAAAGAGCACAGAAGCTGAAACTCGCTCCTTCAGGCCAGGAGAAGCCGATGGCATCTGCTTTGTTACTGAGAGCCAGTGATAGTTGGAGATCTTGAAGCATCCATATTATCCATTTATTAAATATGTAGGTTCTTATATGTCCTAGCTAGTTAGTTTTATGTAAAATCGACACAAGCTACAGTCATCCAAAAGGAGAGAGCCTAAATTGAGAAAATACCCGCAGATCAGCCTGCAAAGCTGTGGGGCATTTTCTTAATTAGTGACTAATGGTGTGGGCCCAGCCCATTGTGAGTGGGGCCACCCCTGGGCTGGTGGTCCTGGGTTCTGTAAGAAAACAAGATCAGCAAGCCATGAGGAACAAGCCAGTAAGCAGCACCCCTCCATGCACTTTGTGTCAGCTCCTGCCTCCTCCAGGTTCCTGCCCTGTTTGAATTCCTGTTCTGACTTCCTTTGATAATTAACAGCAACATGGACGTGTAAGCCAAATAAACCCTTTTCTCACAAACTTGCTTTTGGTCATAGAGTTTCATCACAGCCATGATAATGCTAACGAAGACAGAAATTGTTACCGGGATCTTAGTGTATGGCTGGGCCACACCTGACCATGTTGTTTGGGGGAAGATTGTGAAAGGACTTGGGAACTTTGAGCTGAAGACCCATTGCATGTTCAAAGCTTTGTTCTATGGTAACTTGGAAGATAAGAATGCTGAGAGCTGCGCAGATGATGGAGGCCTGGCTTGTGAGGTTCCAGAGGGAAATTTCAGAGCCATTTAAAGACTCTGTTGCAGCTGTTGCATATTTTGAGTTAAGAATCTATGCTCTGGTTGGCTGGAGTTGAAGAATCAGCTGTGATTAACAAGAGACCAGAATCACTAACGTAAAGTCCTTTGCTTTACTGGGACAACTGATGTTGGACAGCTGAAGCTAAGGAAATGGTGGTGATTAAGAAGAGGCAAAGTGTCTCTCAGAGGCAGCACAATATAGTACACAAAAGTAGCCAAGACTCAGCCCTACCCGGAAGACATCTAACCCAGTTGACAAGCCACCTCTTTCTATCACAACTCAGACTGCTGATGGCTTAGAGTTGGGAAGGAAGGCAAATGGTACTTACCTCTCTCACACATTTTTCATAGTATGCCAGTGGTGGGTGTTTAAGATCTTAGATGTTCAGAGATGACTAACTTAATTGCAAGTTCAAATGCCTCAAGGAAAGGTTTGTTTTTCAAAGGATGAGAAAGACAGTATAGAGGCTGTACACAAAGGAAAATATAGAATGTTGGGAAGATGCCTAGCCATGGGCTGGTCGTGCATGGGAGGCAGCACACATAGTTCTACAGATCTTTCCAAAGTAGGCACCAAGATAGCTTTGCAGGGCTTTAGGACAGCTTACTTCCCTCTTTCAGAGTGCCTTGTGATACATCTATTGCTGACTCTCCTGGGCTTTTGAGACACTAGGGAAATAGATAATCATACAAATACTCAGATTTCTGGGTTAGGAACATGGAAGGGAAGAAAAGGCAGAAAACCACATTTCCTGAAATACCTAAGAAATGTAGAGATCATGTCAAACAATTCAAACTATTCCAGCCAGGGACTAGGGGCCTGATTCAAATGTACACACTTGGTCTTTTCTTCTGCAGGGTTCATGTGAGCCCTATGCCTCTTTGAGATCATGAGCCTCTGGCTCTCCTTGTCTTGTTTCTCTGTGTTAAGTTGGTGTAAGTCACTTAGGAATTTCAATTGTCTTTGTTATCCTAATAAGCACACTGAATGGAAACACACAACAGAAATAATGCGCCAAGATGTCCTGTACAATTGTCTTTGTTATCCTAATAAGCACACTGAATGGAAACACACAACAGAAATAATGCGCCAAGATGTCCTGTACCCTTCCTGTATAGCCATGCTCTGGGTTTTTCACTGAGAGAGAATGAAGATGTCCCAGAGGTCCCATCCTTGTAATATTTTTCAAGCTATTACAAGCCTCCCCCAAAGAAATGAATCAACTTAATTGTTCTGTTTCTGAACAACTCTTGAATGCAGTGATGAACTTATAATAAGAAATAGTTTTCATTAATTTTTGAGTAAATTTAATCATGCCAAGATTAATATTTATTGTAATCGAGAAATTAGACCTATTGAATTTCCCTAAAATGTTTTGCCCTTTATTTCTAAGCTCTATGATTCAATTAGACTTGACATTTTCCCTTTTATTTCCAGTGAATTATAAGAAGTTAAAAAAAATGAAATGAAATCAAACATAATTGGAGGCCTCAGCAGGAAGAGTTAGGCCACCAATATAGCCTTTCTTATAAACCAAATATAGATTTTTTTTTAAAGTCATTTCACTTAAACCTAAGATCTGTGATATCTTCTAAAACCAAGAGTTGAATAGTTATTATAATATCATACTGTTGTACTTAACAAAAGTATAATAAATATTTTAATATTTCATAATTATTAACCCACTTGAGTTTTAAATTATTAATTCCTTGCTTACATTTTTTTCTGAGATAAAGTCTCATGTAGACCTTATCATGTAGCCAGCCTTGAACTTGCTATATAGCTAAGAATGACCTTTAATTTGGGATTCCCCCTACCTCTATCTCAAAGTCTTGTTTAATAGGAAATTCATTGTAATTATTTGGTAGTAATAGTATGAACTCATATAAACATGACTTTACAAAGGTAATTTGGCAATTGTAATTTGGCAAGGGTGACCTTGGTAGCACAAGCCTCCAATTCTAGCTACCCAAGAGGGTGAAACAGGGAATTGCAAATTTAAGCTATCCGTGGACTACAGAACAAGTTCAAGGGTAGCCTTGGAAATGTAGAGAAACCTTGTCTCAAACATGAAAAGGCCTGGGGCACAGTTTAGTGGGAGTGCTTGCTTAGCATGCACAAGACTCTGGGTTCAATGTACAACATGGAAAACAGCAAAACCTCTAAAAGGGCTGGGGTGGAGCTAAGTGGTCAAATCCTTGCTCAGTGTGCCCAAGGCCCCCAGTTAAATCACTTGGGGCTTCCTCACATACAATAAAGCTAGTTGACAATATCACAGAAACAGTATATGATTTGTCTCCTGGTTTTCTAGAACTGTTAACTGCTCAATCAGATGGGGAGCAAGGGAA